CCTGCACTCAAGGGCAGCACACTTCTCTACAAACACTGAAGTTTGAACTACCCATGTAGGGAATGGCTGTTTGGATTAAACTCATGATTTACTATAAGGAACAGGGAAGGAAACAGACCAGGAGTTATGACCAGATTCAGGCTTGTGCTGAGATATGATAGCTCATGTCAGGTTAGAAAGGTCATGTGACTTACTCCAAGTCACACAGCAAATAAGTAGTAGAGCAAGAACCCAGGTCTGTACGCACAACATGTGTGATCAATCCACCAAACACCTGGAAATACAGGTTTCCGCAGGCAAGTGCCATACAATCATGAAAACATGTTTTAATTCTACTTGAACTTTTTTCCCCCTAAAATAGTTTTTACCCCCAAAATATTTAGATTATATAATAAAATACCACAAAAAACAAAACTGATTTTAAGACAACAAATGCTCATACTATATATAGCTTGTTCTTGGTGCTTGCTAAAAAAGACTGTAGAACTAAGAAAAAAAAAGTAAGAACTACAAAGAGAAGCTATTCGGTAGAAAAATAATTCACACAATATTTAACTGCAATTCCCTTTCTGCTGATCTTTCTTAGTATAGTAATCACTATGCATGCAGTTCAGATGGGTCCAGCTGAAAATGCTTATTGACCACTAAACTGTTTCAACAAGGCATGGAATACATTTGATATGCTAGTAGATTGCATAGTTTGATCAACCTCGGTTACTTTCAAAAAGTTATTTGGGGATAAAATACAACCATGTCCAATTTCTCACTTGTATTGCTTCTGAAATCTTCTTTAAGTCCACAAAACATTTCTATGCCTAGACTTTGCTTTGGAAGCTTATACCAATTACATGGTCTTGTCAATTCCAGCCTCTCCTAACCCTGCAATAATTAAAAATCTTAATCCAATCTATCTAAAGCATCCAAAGTTGCAAGATCATTTACATAAACAATTAGGTTTGTTGAATGTGTATCTATATTTCCTTAAAAGTTACTCTGGATTAACATATAATTGGAAATATTAATAGTTTTTAGTCTATGCAATGGGAGAATTTATCTTTTCGCTATTTTACATGAATTTGTTCAAAGTTCTTATACTATCATTCTTGGAATAATTATTAAAATAATTTTACGCAATTAATTCTTGAAATAATTTAGTTTCTCTCATTTTACTTATGTATTAATCTTCAATATCTGTGTCATTATTGCTACTTAAAATGTTTTACAACAATCTAAACTATGGAAGGATCTTGGAAAATTTGCCTCTTGGTGGATGCATGAATGAGGTGACTCAGTGGTTATCTTTAGGAAAATTCCATATCAGATCACCTGTTAACTTTTGGTGCTCACACTGAGATAACCAGCCAGCAGTAAAATATTCAGCAGTTGCTTGCTACCTTTTTTAACACACTACTGGGTCTAGGCTTTCACTAGAACTAAAATCTTGAAAACAACAAAGCTGAATATCCAGCAAACCATAAGAATCTCTTTCACACTATTCCAGTGAACCAGTATTTAAGAAAAGTATATGGCAAAACAAGTGAACAGTTTCTGAAATAGAAATAAAAGTTCTACAGTTGCATTTTAGCCGATGCAGAATATAGGAAAAGCTAGAAAAAGTGATTACTTTTATTGCTACCTTTAGGTTACCAAAGAGTTACTTGTGAAGTTATTTTTCTGATCAAAGTTGTCATTTGTCTAGTTCCAATGACATCCATCAGAAACCTAAAGTATTATCAGTTTGGGGATAACTTACGAAGAGAGGACACGCTGGAGGTGCCCCGAAGAAACTGGTGTAAGCCGTCTTCGCTGTCACTGGAGCTGGCTATACTGTTCCTCATTTCCAGCATGGAGATCTGCGTGCAAAGGCTGAGCTGGTGTTCCAACTTCTTGGTCTTCTACAAAGCAAAGTTTTAAGATTTCTGACATCTATGGGACTTAGAACATACTCCCTGTCAGCAGCGTTTACTTTTCCTTGAAATAAAAGACTATCTGGTGCATAGTAAGTGCCTAATAAATGTTAGCTATCATTTGTATTCTATTACTATAAATACATTATAATAAATTTTATATACTCAGTAGCCCATTTATTAACCTGAAAAATAATAAGCACCAACCTGATTTGATAAACAGCCTAGATAAGATGACCTTAAGAGAGCACAATCCCATACTCACAGTCCCTGGAGAACAGTACTTATCAATGTTTTGCAAGTTCTCCTGTGAGATTCTTTTAATTTCCTTCTAAGCAAACATGGAGAAATGAAGATCAAATTGCAAATTGTTGAAAACCTAAACAACTCTGAAATTCCTAACTGAATTGCCACAGGCTTCCATCCCATACCTCTCTTATCACTTACCGGCTTTCTGGGAGTGAGCCTGACAGGAGGATGTGCAAGATGGAAGACACCAGGGTTAAAACACCAACTTCCTGCTCGCTGAGGTTTGTCAGCGTTTCTCAGTCTGCAACCCCCCCGACCCCCACTCCCACCCCTACCCCCACTGCCCTGCCTTCCCTGGCCGACTGCACACCCCACTCCCTCCCACTCACTTACCATCTTCCTTAGGTTGCTTAGAAGACTCTCTATGAGGAGGCTAGCACCCCATCACCACAAATGGAGGTCCCTGACATTTAGAGACACCTCTAGGTAACGGCAAATATAATAATTACAAAATATTTCCTTGCTCTTGAGAAATGATTCCTTGAAGGGTCTCTAAATTACAGCATCTCCATTTCACTTAACATATGACTAATTAATGAAAATACAGGAAAATATACAGAGGGTGCCAAAAAAATGTACCGTATTTGCCGGCGTATAAGACGACTGGGCGTATAAGACGACCCCCTAACATTTCCACTCAAAATACAGAGTTTGTTATATACTCGCCGTATAAGACTACCCCCTCTTCCGCACACCTTCCACACACCAAATAAAAGGTAAAACAATATCAGATTTGATTTGGCCCACTGAAGTGCAAACAAGCGTATTGTATTTCGTGTCACCACATAACCGTTTTGGCGATGTTGAGCCACCATGTCTGCTACATGTTTTTCGAGTTCTGGCCAGTGTGGGGTGCCTCTTCTTAATGCACACTTACCCCTTGGCATACTCTTTAATGCTTTCTTATTTGATTTCCAGTCCCGAACCATCTTTTCTGTTACTCCATATTGTCTTGCAGCAGCACAATTATTATTTTCCTTAGCAAAGTTTATAACTTTCAGTTTAAAATTTGCATCATACTTCTTTCTTTTGGCTGGTGCCATGATAGGGATGATAGGGGTTTGACTGGTCGACATTTTCTATGCTGTACTGTACAATGGTGCAGTATTGTGGTTGGCTGTTGGCTGTATACAAAACCTGATTTGATTGGTCCCTGCTCCCTGTTTGCCCGCCCTGTCACTATAGCAGTCTGGTCCACCCTTGCATCAGCATCTCCCTGGGACCTCACTAGTGCGCAAGTGCGAGCTCTTCAACATTCTAACAGGCACCATGATAGCGCAAAATCGCGAATCTTCAATGTATATGTAAAGAAATATACGGTAACCCGAATTACCACACTCGCAAAATCGCACACAGCCGACCATACACCCAGTATGGTATCGCGATTCGCGATTTTGCGCTATCATACTGGGTGTATGGTCGGCTGTGTGCCATTTTGCGAGTGTGGTAAAATCGCATAACAGCAAAATCGCATAACAGCCGAGCATACACCCAGCAGCGCTGCTGATGCCTGAACGGTATGTGGAATGAAGTGGGCGGGCATCGGGAGGCCACTATGGCACGGGGCAAGCACTATGGGCAGTCTATCTGAAGTGTACCTGGCGTATAAGACGACCCCCCACTTGGAGGCATATTTTTCAGGGCCAAAAAATCGTCTTATACGCCGGCAAATACGGTATACACATTTTAAGCGAGGAAAAAACTGTATTAAAATTGTAATACTCAGTATATACTGATAACAAAAGATGAATACAAGTCATGTGTATATATTTTTTTGGCACTCCCGGTATATTGCATAAAGTGAGGCATCCCTCACTATACATATTTATTCAACAAAATAAACACACTCAGGAAAACACTTACTTTAAAAAAACAAAAAAAAGAAAAACACTTACTTTATCATTTAAGGTGGGATCATTCAATGAGTAGAGCTTATTTGTAATGTCTTTTCCTATAAGATACCTAAATATTTCATATAGAAAAGGTTCTGATTCCAGAAAGTAAGTTAATCTTTCTCTTGACCAGCATAAAAATCTGCAGTTATCGTCTGCAATAATGGTGACCTGCCAAAGAACACAGAAAGCAAAAAGAACATCTATGTGTATGGATTATGATTATAGTGATTTGGGGAAAGGGAGGAGTAGAATTACTTATGGATATTATTATAGCAATGATTTGTCATATTAGTTAAAATAAGATCCATATACACAAGCTTCTGTAATTACATATTAGATTTTTAAAACCAAGCACAGGCTGATGTTCCAGTTGGACGTATAATTCATGGCTCAATATTTCTTTACACCCTGAAGATTACAACAGAGGTTTAAGAATACAGTTTCAAGCAAAGGAACTAAAGTTAAGATTTGTGAGGCCAAGTTATACATGAAATACCTCTGCCAGCTGACTTTGCAAATACACAGTAGAGAATGAGAAAACTGACTCGGGAATTGGTTTTAGGACCGAGGCTGTTAGTAGTAAGTATGGCTAGTCCTTCTAAAATGGGTATTTCTTGAGTGTGACCTTTCAAGGGTAGCTCCAAGGTAGCCTACGGGAAACATTCCCCCGTTAGCTCAGAACTGGGAAACCATACCCTTTTCTTAAGTATTGTTACATAGGAAAGTGGGGAAGCAATGTAATTGCACTATGCAGAACTCAAATATTCCTCAAATAAATCCCTTCTCCAGAGTGAGGGGTCATGCCCTCACAGCTCAGTGTCAAGAAGCCCTTCCTCCCACACAGACCTTCTATCTGTCAGTTCTCCTCTGAACTTCACGTGGCACTCACATCACTGAATCCTGGCACATCTGTCTCCCTTGAGCACTGACAGGAGAGACTGTGCACCTTTGCATCTGAATGTCTGTCTTCTAATACAGAGTGGTCTCAACGCACATTTATTGCATGAATTAACAAGTGAACACAAATACTGTTGAAAGCAAAAACCATTTTTACATCTCAACATTAAACCCAGTGCCTATCCAAGTAGGAGATTAATATAAGTTTGTGAAATTGACATGAAGTCCTATCTTGGCCTCCCAGCAAATATTTTCAAATGAGCACCTTCCTCTTTGTTCGTCACAAAATTAAATATATTTCAGATGAAAAGGGGGTATTTATGTCTACTACAAGAGACAGAATGAGACAAATCCCAGCTTCTCGCCTTATGTCACTAGCTGAAATCTGACCTTTAGCAAATTAGAGGGTTTGTCTACTTTAAAAAGTGTGTCAGTATTCCTAGAAAAAAAAGTTTGCCATTATTTATTATATTAAAAGTAGGAAACTCCAAATCCAAACATATTTGAATTTAAGAAATGTATTAGTAGCTCCATGACCCCATAAAACACTAAATTCCATTCATTCTTTCAACATACGTTATTATGCACGTACTTAATGCCAGATACTGTTCAAGGCACTGAGGTTACAATGGTGAACAAGAAAGACAATATCCTTGCCCTGTGAAGCTTACATTCTAGTGGAGGAGGCAGATAATAAATAGAGAGATATGACACCTTCAGGTGGCAATAAGTATTTTTGACAAATACAGAACAGGGGAACGTGGTAGAGCATGACTAAGGAATGACAGTCACACATAATGCCACTCATTCTATATACATATTATACTTTTAAACATTCAAGGTGCTTTTATATCTGTCACATAAATGGATCCTCAAAATTGCCCGGTAGTAAATAAGGCAGGTAGTAATATTCTTCCCTATCATTTAGATGCCAAATGAGAAGTGCCAAAAAATGTGTTCACGACACATGTTAATTAGCGGTGGAGTGAGCACTTCTGATTTCCAGCCCAGACGTATTTTCCCACCGGGCCAAACCCTACCCAATGTGTCCAGTGTTCTTTAAGATGATCCTATGGAAAGTAATCTGGGTAAATGACCACGAGTTGGCTCACAGTCCATCAAAAGTCCCTCATACAAGGAACAGGTAGCTGGACACATGGCATGAAGCCTACATCCTAGTAGAGGAAGCCAATAAGTAAAAACATATGACAACAAAAGATAAGATTTATAGGAGAAGTATAAAGTCAAGCCACTCCTAAGGAGTTCCCAGAAATCATAAGAGATGGGTAAGTAAATGCAAAGCAACTGAACAGTATTCTATAGGAGTGATTAGAGAAAGGTGGGCACTGGGTGAGCACTCACAGTGGCCCAGCCATGCACCCCAACGTTTGAAAAATGGGTTTGGAGAGTTGAGGTCCCTTCATTTTGCAAGGATGTCATACATAACTTTGGAAAATATAATTCATGTACGGTGGGACAAGGAATTAAAAAAGGAGTTGGCAATCTTTCAAAAGAGAAGAAATTGTATCTAGGTGACAGATAAGGCATTTAACTTCTTTTCAACTATTTTAATAACCTCATTTCTACTGAGGCAACCATTACTTTTAATAGGATACTATAGTTTGTTTAACAAAGCCATTTCTTATTGATGGCTGAAGAATACTTCAAACATATTTAATTTATTATTAAATTTAAACTTTAAAATAGTATCCTAATAATAAGGCTATACCTGCAGTATGTATGAGTAACTTACATGTCCATAAGAACAGGCATTTAGTCGGAAGTGGGTAATTAGCATATTGACTGAGGTCATTTTACTTGATAGCTAATGCTTTATTTCTGCCTAATAGTTTTATTTTTAATGATTTCCTGTCAGAACCATCAAGTAAAACATATTTTTAATGGGGAATAGTTAAAGCTTCTGTAAAATAAATTTGCATCTTGAGTTATTAGGGTACCTCAGCAGTGCCATGTTTGAGTTCTTATAAGAGATTTACTGAAGAAATAAAAGCAAACAGGGCAATGGACACATAAAGTAATTTCTTTCAGGTAGAGTTAGACTAAGCGTTTGCTGTGATTACCTCAAGGTACTGGATCAGTCCCCTCACTTTAGATTCCAAGCCAATTCCACACCCTCAAGAACAAGGGTGTCTGAGGGAATTGTTACATGTGCTAGAATCGGAAACAGCAGTCTGACAGTATGACTGGTTGACTGTCCTCAGGGAACAATTTATTATTTTCTTCATGTATTGTACAACATTTCATATACCAGGAACATGAAAATGTCCTAGAAGTGATCTATTCAACTAATTCTTATTGAGTTCAGATAAGCATTTAAAATATAGCAGAGTCAAAACTGGCAGATTAAATTGCTCTGCAGCTTTACCAAAAATTTTGCTTAATATTAGGATAACTTTTATTTAAATACCCGCTAAGATTTAATGTTCACTTATTTCACAAGAGCTTGGACATCTGCCTCTATGACAGTCTTCTTCCCTTAAAGTCATTAAGCTTTGATTTTGGGGCTTCACAGCACAGGACATGCTCTTGACTATGGGAGGGCAACAGCAGGAGATAGATACAAAAGAAAAACATGTAAATGGCAAAGAAGAAGAAGAAGCCAAACACAAAACATAACTCCTACCTTTTGGGTTTTTAAAAAATATTTTAAAATATAGCTAACATACAATAATATGTTAGTTTCAGATGTACACAATAGTCATTCAACATTTATAGAACTAAAGAAGTGATCACCATAAGTCGAGCAACCATCTGACACTGTACCACGCTATCACAATATTATTGACTATGTTCCCCATGCTGGACATTACATCCCATGACTTATTAATATTTGTTTTATATATGGAAATTTGAACCTCTTATTCCCCTTCACCTTTCCTCCCCTTTTAAAAATTTTCAAATATAGTTGACATTCAATATTATTTTACATTAATTTCAGGTGTACAGCATAGTGGTTACACATTTATGTAATTTAAAAAGTGCTCCTCCTGACTAGTCTAGTACCCACCTGGCACTATACATAGTTACTACCATATTATTGACTATATTCCCTATGCTTTACTTTACATCCCTGTGACTATTCTGTAACTACCAATGTGTACTTCTTAATCCCTTCACCTTTTTCACCCTGCCCTCCAAGCCCCTCCCATCTATCACCTCGATAAATCTCGTACCCATCTGACACCATACATAATTATTACAATATTATTGACTATATTCCTTATGCTATACCCTACATCCCTAGGACTACTTTGTAACAACCAATTCGTACTTCTTAATCCCTTCCCCTTTTTCATCCACCATAAAACCCCCTCCTGTCTGGCAACCATCAAAATATTCTCTGTATCTAACAGTTTTGTTTTGTTTATTTTGTTCTTTAGATTCCACATAAAAGCGAAATCACATTGCATCTATCTTTCTCTTTCTGACATACTCTACTTAGCACAATACCCTCCAAGTCCATCCATGCTGCCAGAGAGGGCAAGAACCCATTCCCTTCCCTGGCTGAGCAATATTCCATTGCATATATGTACCACCTCCTCTTTAGCCATTCATCCATAGAAGGAAACCCATGCTGCCTCCACATCTTGGCCATTGTAAACAATGCTGCAATGAACATATGGATGCACACGTCCCCTTGAAGTAACGTTTTGGGTTTCTCCAGAAAAATACCCTGAAGTGGGATTACTGGGTCCTTTTTGTCTCTTGTTATGACCTTTGTTTTTAAAGTCTATTTTGTCTGGTATAAGTATTGTTACTCCAGCTTTTTGTTTGTTTGCTTCCATTTTCATGAAATATCTTTTCCCCATCCCTTTACTTTCAGTCTGTGTGTCTTTTGATCTGGAGGCTCTTGTAGGCAGCATGTGTAAGGATCTTGTTTTCTTATCCATTCAGGTACCCTCTTTTGATTGAAGCATTTAATCCATTTGCATTGAAAGTAATTGTTGATACATATGTAGTTAGTGCCATTTTATTATTCATATATATATATATATATTTATCTTGAAGAAGTCCCTTCTAAGATTCCTTGTAATCTTGTAATTTTGGTTTGGTGTTGATGAACTCCTTTAGCTTTTTGTTGCCCTTCCATCCCTCACCCTGAAGCTAGACAATTCGGTTCCTCCCCATATGTCCCTGGTGCCTTTTGAGCTGCTGTCCCAGCACTGGAGCTCAGAGTGAGTGAGTCCGACAATGATTAAGTCCATGTGTGGGCCCGTTAAGAGGAGCACCTGGGACTCGAGCCACTCTGTCTCACTCAGCCACAATCTTCACTGGTTTTCACAGCCCGAAGTTATGGGGACTTTTCTCCCTGGCACTGGAAGCCTGGACAGGGGAACCTGGTGTGGGACTGAGACCCCTCATTCCTCCCGGGGGGGACTCCAGAACCTAGATATCCTTCCCAATTTTTAATAGTCACACGCAGATATGGGACCAGCCCATTCCATGTCTCTGCCCCTCCTACCAGTCTCAAGGTGGCTTCTTCTGCGTGTCCATAGTTGTAGGGCTTTGATTCAACTAGACTTCAGGCAATCTCAGTGATGGCCGATCTTTAGTTTGTTATTTTGATATGGTTGTGAGAGGAGGTAAGCACAGATTTTAGCTACTCTGCCATTTTGACTGGATCTGACTTCAACTTTTTGTAATAATGAAACTCAAGATTCTATGAACAGTTCTAAGTAGCAACTTTGGTCTGTAAGTACTAAAATGACTGTAAGCACCTAGGGAGCAGCCGTAAGTTCAGAATCTGTTTTTTCAGCTCTATCACTGTATGTATCATTGTAATTACCACATGTACCTAAATATTTGCTGTGCAATCTCAAGGGATAGTCATTGAGTCCATTTGGCTTTCTTTCCTCCTTTCATCTTATTGTATAATTCATTATACCCATACCAAAGAATAAATTGAAAGAAATAAAAATTCAAAGGAAGTAGCTCCTCATCAGAATACTTGTAACTGTTCAGAGTTAGAGAAAAATAGGATTGCCGGGTAATGGGTGGAGCAGTTTGACCACTGACAATTTCAAGTGTCCTCTGCCATGGGCACAGGTAGTAAGAAATTGGCCCTAGGAACACGTGAGGTTTTTCATTTGGGAACTTGCTTCTGTAAGAGGCAATATACCCCTACAGAGATGTGCAACAGCTATTTTTACTCTTTAGTAACTGTCAGTGGGAACATTTTGTAAACAATCAAAACACAATCTCTCCCAAGGGCTCACTCTGATGGAGTCTGCACCAATTGTACAGGATACAGGTTCGCTGATGCTGGCGTAGTTGTTATCCATTGACCAACTAGGAAATGCCACACTGGCCTCTATGCAGAGAAAAGCTGACTGGTGTTTCTAAAGGCTAAATAAATATCCTTCATCTAGCTACAGTACTTCGATTTTGGTCATGTCTTTGGAATCTTCATAGCCATTATCAGGAACATTTCTCAACTTCCAAACCCCAATCTCCAGCCCCCAAGAAGAAAGAACTGTAACTAGTGATAGGGATTCCTTTTTTGTTAAACCCAATTATAAATATAACCTGAGGTTCAGTGGAAAAGATAGTGCATGTTATATCCCTGGCCTCTTAGGGGTCATTTGTTTGTGGAAACAAAAGAAGTTCAATACCTCTCTAAATCCCAGTCTCTTCAGGATCATATGAGACCAGCTATTGTGTAAAAGCACTTGCTACTATACACAGAGAAATGGATGCAGCAGGTAAAAGTCAGGCTTTGGAAAAATAAATTGTAAGGAGGTCAGGGGAAAGAAAAATAGGGGAAAGAAGTGACCCTGTGCTAGTTTGTAGATGGTGGTGCTTAAAGAAACAGCAAGAACATAAATCTCAGTGCATAGCTGACCCTCACAAACAAAAGGTCAGAGTGTAAATTAGAGGAGCCAGGATATAGCATTTGCTTTCTCCTTCTATAGCTTAAGCTCGACCAGCTTGGGAACAGCATTGTACCCAGTTAGTAAACTTATCTGAGACCTTCTAGTAGTTATACATAACTTCAACAAGCTGCGTGGTCACTCAGGCCAGTTACTCAGGTGTTGGGGAGCTGGGCAGGGCTAAAACCATTGCAAATAAGCTAAACTGTATGTCTGTAAAGTTTCCCTTTAATCTCCATGTGGCATCCCAAATTGTACAGCATCTCAAAATGAGACTCAAAAATAAGACTTGTCATCAGGAAAAACTGACTTGTCTTCCCTCAGGCAATAACACCCCCATCTATTCTATTTCCTACCTGCATAGGTTTACTCTCTTGCTCATAAGCAACCCTGTTCTGAGGATATTTCCTTACTTCTGTTTATCTAGAGGCTGAGACTAAAGCTGTCACCCATTTTCGTGGTTACTTTCCTACCCATAATGAGGGGAATAAAATAGGAGGTCTGGGTACTTACAGAAAGCATCACAACAAAGTGCCACATCATGCCGCAATTATTTTTTAAGATACAAAAAGAATCACGCTGTGTAGTCCACATTCAAAGTGTTATAACTATGCATTTTATCATTCTTTGCCCTTAAAGATATTCATTAAATATAAAAGAGTAAAGTGATTAGATTTTTCTTAAGAATTAACAAAATAAGTTCCCTAGGGCAAAGCCAGTTATCTGTTTTTCCCCAATAAAAGTAACCAATTACATGTTTTAGGAACATTGATTATTCACAACTGATATTTTCCTTTTTTTCATAATAAAAGCATTAGATGTTTTCTATGGAAAAATTGTAAAAATTCAAATAAGGAAAAGGGAAGAAAACAAAAAAGCAATAAAACTTATAAACCAGAAATAACAATGCTAACACTATGACAAAATTAGAGTATATCTTTCCTGGCCTCTTTTTGTGTACACAGACACATTATTTTGTTTAAGTTTTACATTTGTTTAAGTTTTACAAAAAATGGGTATGTGCTATATGTGGTACATACTATATATACCACATAGTAACCTCTTTTTTCAATAAATCATGGCCACTTGTCTATTAATATCCTTTGGATTTTAATGAGATATGAACTAGTTTCAATCTTCTTAAAAATCATGCCAGATTTTAGAAGTTTTCATCACAAGAAAAAAGATTATAACATGTATAGTTATGGATGGTAACTAGACTTATTGGGGTAATCATTTTGCAATATATACAAATGTTGAATCATGTTGTTCTGAAACTAATATAATGTTATATGTCAATTATACCTCAACTGAAAATACATTAAAAATATATATATATGCCGAAACATACCTGGAATTTTTCACCTTTGTGCATCTGAGTTGATCTAAATTCAGGAGAATCTATAAAGGCACAGGGGTAAATGTTATGCAGAAAATGTCCTCGATAGGAGACCTTCATTCTGATAACAAAAATTAATGTTAATAAATGTATATTTCACAAATGACATGACAAACCTTAAAATCTCTATAACCTTATGGGTTTATATTTTGTACTAAGGTTTTAAAGATCTACTGATAACTGACATAACTAAAAGCACTTCATGAAGACAAGTATTTATTTCAAAATAAATTTCACCAGCGCTAAGAAAAAAACATGTTCCAGTTTTTCCACAAACATGTGCTTTCCAATGGGTATCATTGCTCTTATACCCAGAGTAACCATATGACTTATTACTCAAACTCAGACTCTTTTGAGAGAAAAAGGTTGGTATTAATAATTATTCCAGAACAATCTACATTAGCTCTCTGCTCAGAAATTGATATTCCTAGAAGTTATATTTGTGATATTCAAAAAATAAACACCTCTGAAACATACACAAGCTTCTTGAATTTTAATGTCCAATTTAAACCTACTTCAATTTTGACTCATTAACTTTAAATAAAAGGGTCAAAAAAGGTTGAAAACGTTCACAGCTGAAAGTCTGACATCACTAAGATTCACAGCAGGAAATTCTACGTAACTTGAACATGTCGCTCTGCAGCATTCCAAGATGCACTCGTAAAATGCACCGACAAATTCTGTGACTGCTTCCTCCTTTACTTGGCAATATTCCCTTCTATTCATTTCCAGAGGCCACAAGAAGATTCAAGGCAAACTAGGAATTTCAATTTCCATAGAACACTTACTTTCCCTTCAGAAGAATGCTAAGACGGTCGTCAACTGAGGTTTTATCCTCTGCAGCATAAGTCTGGCCCTTTTTCAAGGTTTGGATCATGCAAAACTGTCCAGTCAATCTTCTGAACAAATCTGGAGGCACTCGGAGTGGTTCAAACAATCGCCGGTAGATGCCATTGAGTTCCTTCTCAATCTTTACCTGAAATGCAGCAATGATGAGATGCTGTACTCACACTGCAACACTGAAACATTGGCTTCTGTGGTCTCAATACGGTTTTGAAATAAAAAAATTTGCAACACATACCATCGCCCTTCTGTATTTCAGTCAATGGAAACTTACCCAGAGAATAAGTGGTGATATAAGTTTAGATGCTAAAAGGGCACTTTTGCCCTTAAACTGAACTAAGCTTGTATGGAGAAGATTTGCACTATTGATCACATCTCTCCCTACGTGCTATAAAGCAACTGTGGAGATTTGAATGTTGTCACAGTCACCTTCTCAACTTTAGCATTTTCTATTATGAAAATACATTAAGTATTTTATCTACATGTAATTATCATTTAATGCATCAATATAGGAAAACAAACATCTACGGCGGCAATCATTGCTTCTCATTTATTCTGAAGCAAAGTGAAGAGTGTAAAAGGGTTTCAGTGGAGTTTATCGTAAACTTAAATGAATTCTGTAGAATAGAGAACCCACTGGCAAGTAAGGCTGGCTACTGGAGGAAGAGAAAAGCAAAATAGCTCAGTCACCTCTGTTGTCAGAGCATATGACCCAAGGCACAGGTCGTGCCCCCTCTTTGGGCCCAGCTTAGTCTGGGAAAACTGTACTGCATGTCAATGAACTTTTAGGTTCAAGTGATCATCCATCCCGAAGAAGTCCTTGGCGGTCACACTATGAAGTTTATAGACCCAGGTGACGAGAGCTATTCACGTCACTGCAGCCAATATTCTTCTTGTCGTGCTGTTTCATTTTAATGAAGAACCAGCATTTATATTTTTCAAAAAAGTAGGTTTACAGTCTGAGAAGAAACAAAATCACTGATGCTAAGTGATTTACTTATTTGGTGCTTCCACATCAGCAATTTCTGAACCTTATGTTCAAAACTTGGGGTTCTAGCAAGGTCTGATATATTCAGAAACTGTAATCCTCACTATTACTACCATCTAGCTCTTCCACTTCAGAGAGGTGGTAATGAATGTTTAAATTAATTTACTCCCGCTTCCAGCATGCACACTAGCCAATGTGGCACAGGAATGAACATATGAACCGAAGAATCTAGTGACTGATATTCATAACCTGCTCATCCTCCAAGTTTTAACTCAAGTCCCAATTCCTTCATGATGTGCTCTAATTCTTCTCTTTGAAAGCATCCACTCATCAAACATTTTTTTGAGCACCTATTATGTGCCAATTATGGTTGACAGGAACAAGGAATACAACAGTAAGTGTGGCAGGTAATACTGTTCCCAACTCTTTGCTGCTCCCAAGCCCTGTAAGAGGATTATACATCCCCTTACCCCATCGTACCCCCACATTATCAGGCGTGGCCACGCCACTTGCTTCAACCTATGAACTGTGAGCAGAATTGACATAGGCCCCTTTTGAGTAGATGTTTTAAGAGACACTGGGTATTTCTCTTTTGTTCTCTTGTACTTTTCTCTCTGCTATGAGAACGCATGTCAGACAGAACCTGCTGCTTCAGCAGAGACCCGGAAATGAGGAAGACACATGGAAAAGAATTATAGCTGACACACAAATGCCAGACTCAACACATAAGGTACATGAGGGAAAGAGCCCGTTGCTTTCACGTGTCCCTAAGATTTTCAGGTGAATTACACAGTATAACCTCCAGAAAACTAAGACAGCAGGCAAAGCAGGCTGGGCTGCAATGTTTGACGAGGTTATAGTATAGTGGAACGCCTATTCCATCTGTATCATTCAAATTGTAATTTCCTGTGAATTGTCTTGTTTTCGACATGCATTTCTGGCCTTCACCATAAGATTAGGTGGAGCACTGTATCTTTTACTTTATTGAATATTTGTGTGTGTGCCTTGGACAGTCAGTAGACATGTAGGGAGTGATTTCTTGAAGCCAGGCTGTTTTCCTATTCTATTTACATCTTTTTGTTTTTGGTATGACCAAGGAAACACAGCAATATAAAGAAGAGTTGAAAAGAAAAAGTTAACTCATCAAAAATGGTGATTTCCTTAAATGAATATTTTGCATAAGAAAAAAGGCATTAAATTAAAAAATTTGCATGAAAAAATAGCATGAACTATTTACAAATCAGTAGTATGTTCATGGAGGTTCCCCATGAGCAATTAATTTTATAAGTAGGCAAAGATATTCCCAAATGACATTTGAATATCAATAGACAAAAGAAATAATGAAGTTATATGACTAAAAAGAGAGAATAGTCTCATGTTCTCTCATCTAAATTGCCCCGATGATTCAAAAAGTTTTAAAGACTCATTTGTAGAACACATTTCATGGTATTCAAATGTTTCACTTTCAGGCATCTATAAACAGAAAGTCTCTTCTTCAGAGAAATGATATTAAAGGCACTAAAGATGTTAGATGCTCATTCTCAAGTCTGAACAAAGTACTTTAAAAGACTTTTAGTTTTCAAATTTCTTCCTCATTAATTAATTTTTAGTAATTACCGGTCTTTTCTTGTACAAAAGATATGAAAGATGCAAAACGTTGACACCAAGAAACACAGAGTTCCAGATCATGATATCCAAGGCACATCGGTAGAGAGTGGCCCAGATGATATAAAGGGTACATCCTGTTGAAGAACAAAGTTAACAGGTTAGATGTTTAGAATAGCTTCACCATGAAGCTTAATAAACTTATCCCTTTTATGTAAAATAAACACACTTTAGAAATACCTAAGCCAAACATCACATTGACTTTCATGTTGTGTTTTTGTCTGATTAGCAAAAAAGAAAAACATCCTTTGATGCAGAATATTTGTAAAGTTAGAAAGTACTTTTTAAAAGGGGGAAAATATCCATAATTCTACTACTTAAAGAAAATCACTACTGATGTTTGATACTTTCTTACAGTCTTTACGCATTTTTACCTGATGGCAAAACTACTGTAATTTTAAAACCTATGCTTTTACTTATTGTAGTGATTTTCCCATTTCATTAAAACTCTTCATGTATATAATTTTTAATGATTGTAAGACAGGTTAGTTAGTATAATATCAGGCAGTCAGGAATTCCCTGGTAGACTGAGCAAAGATAAAAACAAACAAACTGGCCATTCTTTAAAACTAGCCATTCCTTTCAAAATTATAGGGTAACTCCCTCATACTAGAACAGAGACATCAATCATGCCCCAGAGCAACAAAGCCATTTTGGAGGACATTACGAAAGGCCTCCCCAAAGCTGAGCAACAGAACAAATCTGATAAATACCGTAACAACAGGCACCGTATTTCAACATTCCCCCTCCCAGGCAGAAAAAAAGTATAAAACTCAAGCCTTTTACTCTAGCTAGTGGGCATTCCATTTTCCGGGTACCCCCTCCTGCTCGGGAGCTGTAACCTTTCTCTTGCTTTAATAAAACTATCCTCTGCTACAAACTCTACCTCTCTGATCCGTGTCTCCATTCTTCAGCTTCACGAGACCATGACCCCGGCACAAGAAATATCCTACATCAATTGTAACTGATTAAAGCAGAATTTATTTAACCATCTCTCTACTGGTGGACAGATGAGATTTGTTTGAGGTATAAGTTTTGATAAGTAGCCAAATATCTTTATATGTAAAAATTGATTTGTTTTGTGACTGCTTCTGGTAGATTACCTGACAGTCAGTCAAGAGAGTGAACTTCATAGCTTTTGATGATAATGAAGAGTTTTTCTCCAAAGCCTTTCTAACAAATTTGTAATCACACTAGTTAGAAATCCCAGTATCAAGTTGTCCATACTATAAAATTTGAAAACGCTTGATTTTATAGTGACAAATTTTGTATTGTATTTTGCATTTCCATGATTATTGGTGAGCTTGACTATTATACCAAAATCTTCTAACCATCTGAATTTTCACTTGGTAATTATCCATTCATCTATGGAAATCCTCCTAGTTTTTCTTATCAATTCTCTTACTTTAAATGAAATATCAACAGTTTTTATCAATTTTATGGTGAGAGAATCAATATATAGTTTAAATTTAAAATAAAATTCTCAATATGATTCAAATGTATCAATGACACACACACATATAAAAGCTAACCTCCCATGTTAAAAAGTTATTCATTTGTAATTTTTTATTTCATCAGAATAATTTGGGGCATCTGAATAACAGCATAAAATGTAAAACTTTAAATGTTCTTTAAATAATATTTCATAGCAAATTCCACAGAAATTTAAAATATTATTACTTAAAGGAGACAAGGTAACATAATGGAAGGGCAGACTAGAAAGCTGGAGGACCTGAAGTATATAACAGAACTGGGTAGGCCACTTTCCTGCCTTAGTTTTCAATGAGTCATTTATCTTCTCTAGACCTCAGTTTCTTCATTTATAAAGTACTGGATTAAATGATCTCCTTGCTCCATTCCCTCCAACATCTTTCTTCAAATTCATAACTAGCTTTTGCTTTTTACATGTTTCTTTTTTCTTTTTTTCTTTACTTCAACACTGCTCCTCCTGCTGCAATCCTTATTTTAGAGATAACAGACACAGAAGTCCCACAAGCTACCTTATAGTTACCCTTCTAGCCTCTTCTTTGGCCATTCCACGTCATATTTCACGTTTTAGGCACAATGAACTACTCTATTATTCCTCTATGTGCTGAATTTTCAGCTCCTCTGTGACTGTTACCTGGATACTACACACACTCACATTCAAAGAAATCCTGCTCATCTTCCAAAAGCCAGCTCCAACGTCTTTTCCCCAGTGGGACCTTGCTCCACCTTCCTGCTAAGCCTGTCACTCTCTCCGTTTCTCCCTGGCACTGGGCACACACCTGCATCACATGTGACTACCCATCTGTTTCTCTCCAGCCTCCCAAAGAGTATCTTTCTCAAGGCTGGAGACTACCATCTTTAATTTTTGTCTGATACATTACAGGTGCTCAAAAATGCACCTGAATAAATGAATCATTAGGGGAAGAATTACAGAGAGTAATTTGTCAAGAATCACTGGCTAAAATAATAACTCGATTGTTCTAGTATTTGGATGTTAATCAATTTAATCTGCTTCATCAGGGTTACTGGGGCCCAAAAAAAGAGTTTTACTTGAACTATTGTGTCTGGGTAATTGTTCTTGCTCCCAATGTTGCTTTGTTGGCCACTGCAAGTAAATGCCTATTCAAATAATAATATTCAAGACTATATAATACTTACTATGTGCCAGGCACTATTATCAGTCAAATGTGTATACACACACACACACACACACACACACACACACACTCATTTAATTCTCACGACAATCCCAGGAGGTGGTATTATTTTTACCCTTATTTGACACACAGGGAAACGGAGGTATAGAAAGGTTAAATCACTTGCCCCAGTTATACAATAAGCAAGTGTTGGAACCAAGATTCAAATCACACAATCTGGCTCCAAAGTCCACACTCTTACACACGAATGGATTTTCTGGTATCTGGAAAATCTAAACAACATATGAAAACATACAAAGGTTTATCTAAAGTAAGTAAGGGAGCCATATAGCACATGAAGGCCTATGTTCTAAGTTACTTGATATACTGCTAATTTGATAACAAAGACATATTTTTTGGTATGCTATTGACCTGACAAGGATTCTCTGAAGCTCCCAAGGCAAAGCTGATCTGAATCCAGTAATGGAAAAGTTAACTCTCAGTTAGGTATCTTACCTATAGTTAACATCCCCCTAAGAAGTATCATATGGAGGTGAAGAGTAGTTGGAATAACCAACCCAATTGCAAAAAAAATATTTGCTACATGAAAAACTAGATGATGTATCTCTCTCCAGTTTTCACAAGTGGTCTCATTGGAAGGCACAGGTACAATACTTCCTAACTCAGGTGTAAAACCTATTGCAGTTGATTCTGTGAATGGTCTAGATTCGGTAAAATTCATCTTGAAAATTCCTGTAAGAACAAATAAACAAAAGGCAATCATAAAAATGGCAGATGTATCTTATCACCCCTGGAGGTGTTATACCAGAATTATTTCTGTGAACTATTAGTTAAATGACTGTGTTGGTAAATAGATTACTATGGTGCTTATAAATTAGACAGACCCGGCTCTATCATAAATTAAATGTATCAATTTCCTTATCTGTTAAATGATGATAATAATACCTCATTTGATTTTTATGATTAACATTTAACTTTATCATTAAATGAAATAAAATATATAAAATACTTAGCATAGTGCACTATTCTTATACATTTGTATATATGTATATGTCTATATATATCTGTAATATCTATATATATGTACATAAACATACATGAAGGTTGGAGAAAATGGAATGATGGAATTTAGATTAAAAGATAATCACCAATGTTCATAAACCACAGCAATTGCAAAGTTATTTAATATAGTCTTCCATCATATTTCTATTATGACACTGAATGCAAACACAGAAAAAAATAACTGGAAAAATTGATTTTTTTAACACTTTCAAAAAAACATAACACTCTCATATTTACTATTTGAAGGCTTAGGATATTCAGAAGGCTCTATTTTTATATTATTTTGAAATCATTGTATCATACATATATACATTCTACATTATCATATATACATAATAAATACATTACTACATATTACTATAATCATTTTTATATACATAGAGAGATATAACATTTACTCCTACTTTTAGTGTCTAATTTAAATCCCTACTTTCTTTCCCATAAAAATCCTAGTTGGTTGCATCTCACAAATTGAAAAGTGGTAAACTTCCATATTACTTGTTGTAGGAGGAGTTATGAATATACATTTAACTATTTAATATTAAAGTCTGTAGCAAATATATTTCAAAGAATATACATTTTACATAAAGTGGCACTACTTTCTGACTATATTACTTGTCCTCCATCTCTGGTACTTAAAAAATTCTTTCTATTATTAATTATAAAAATTGATCTCTGACAAAAACTATGTAGATTTACAGAATATGTGAAGTATTCTGGTTCAGGAAAAGAATGCCAAATGGGGACTGAATATAACTTTAGGTTTCATTTAGAAATATGTATTTCCTTCCAAATAAGAAACACATTAACCGTACTTTTCCATTAATTTTTTTTCATCATACATAAAGGCTTTGGGTTGTAGAATAATTGATACAGGCTAGGCATTTTCAAAGGATGTCATTACACAAATGTGGAAATTCCACATCTCTTAAAATGATAAAAAAACATACACACACAAACTTACAAAAGTGAATGAAATGATTAAGTCAATTAAAAATCTCTTCACATAATTCTGAAATAGCTCATAAATGTAAGAGAAATAGTTGACCAGGTATCATTATTTTAATAACTCTACTTACACAAAAGTTTGCTTTCAAGAACCAAATCAGAATTAATCTCATAATTTCTGCAGGAGGGAGAATGATATTAAATGTCCTCTATCACTCATAAGCTAACGTCAATATCAGCTTATGTACTAGCATTACATAAGCTAACAATTAACTCCCATTTCTACCACACTTTAGAATGTGCTTTCATTCCTATTGTCCTATTTGTTCTTCTAACTACTCTCTGTTCTCCATGAGGTAGGGACAGTGTCATAATCATCTATGTATATCCAAGGCCTAGCCTCTATAGAGGGTGCCAGAGGCAGAGGTGAAATCCATACCAAAGGGACACCAAACCTCAGTAGTAAAGATGGGAGAGAGACTACCCTTCCTGAGGTTGAGAGAGTCAGCGTCTATACAAGCCCCAGGGAGCCACACAAGCCAGGGTCTATGTGTGCCTGGGTCTGCTTCTTCCTAGGAACAGATGTGGCTGGGCTACAGGCAGCTGGACTAGATGGTCTCTGAAACCTCTTCAAGTTTTAATAGCCTCTAATACATATTCAAATAATAAGCTAATTAATACCTACTTACCTCCCCACATCCACCCAATTATACCTGTGTTGCCAACTAATTCGCTGCAGTTCAGTTTTAGGCTTTTAAAAGTTCTTCAAGTAGCACGAGAAGCACCAGTTTCTGGTCCAAGATAAATGATAGGAAAACTACGATCTACTGACCCAAGAACCAGGAAATAATAATATGAATTTTTAAAAGATGGGATCATCCTACAACGTATTTTGATACACTACACTTTATTAAAGATGTACATACATATAATTTATATATTTATTTAATTTTCTATATGTTTGTATTCTATTGTATAATAATTAACATTATATATTTATTATATATCTATATATCTATTTTGAAATGCCAATTACCTATTGTCAATAAATATTGATAGGATCTTACCAGTTTCAGCTTCCTTTGATACCTATTAGTGGATTTAACTGGTTCGCACTTAACTATCCTTATATAGAATGAATGGGTCTAATGAGGAAGATTAGGCTGGTAAACCGGTAAACATTCAGATTAATATTGACTAAATTAAGAAAAATTTTCTTTCTCCTATTATTTCCTTGGAGACTAATTCCTTAAATTCCCTGCTCTAGCAAAGTTCTGCTTATCTTTTGATTTTCAAATAGGTGTTTGCAGGGCTAAACAGCTAAATGGTGAAACTAACCTTAATCCTTCACCAAACTACAAAAATGAGAAAGATAACAGCAATGAGCAAAAGTCGTGCTAGTAGGCTTATTCAATTCATTCTGTAATTGTAACGGAACCTTTTGCACAATTCGGAATGGCAAAGGACATTATGCCGCCAAGAGTCTTTTCGAAAGCACCTCTGGCTTCAAAGGCAAGCAGTTTCTGGGACTTGTCTGGCCAACAAATCCGTTACCCAAAGCATCGGAAACGGGGGCGCAGGGGGTAGGGGGGACGAGGATCTCGGGTTCTCTAACCATCTACGACCCCTAGGGGCCCCGCTCACCTGGTTCCTTAAAGAAGGAGGGTCAGAGTCAACTGTTCTTGACCCGGATCTCTCGGGCCAAGAGGGATGTACACTTAGCGCCGCGCCCTACCTGGCACTCACAGCTCCGGGACTGGGGGCGACACCGTGCACCGCCTCCACGCGGGACCTGGCGGCCCTACAGGAGGGAAGGAGGAGCCGTAGTGGGATCGGGGGGCAGTGAGCCCCGGGAGTCCAGCGGGGAGAGGAGAGGCGGAGCTGACCAAGGGTTTGCCCGAGGCAGAGCGCGGGAACCAGCCCGATGGGGGCCGAGCGCCGCGGGACGCTGGCGCTGCCAGACCCGAGCTGCGGCAGCTGACACTTGCGGGCGTGTGGCCTCGGCACCCAGACCCGCGGAGAAGGGCGGCTTCCAAGGACAGGGAACCCCGAGAGGGTGCGGCCAGCGAGGAGAGGGCGGGGCTCCCGGCGGCCGAGGCGCGGAGAACAGGCAGCTGCCGCCGGAGCAGCCAAAGTTGCTCTCAGTAGAGCAGGGATCCAACTTTCGCTTCCCGATTTAGCCCCAGGAGCGCGTTGCTGCAAATAGCCAGGCTCGCGGGGGCAGCGGGCGGCATTTGCGCCTCCCGCTCCTTACCTGGCTTGTCCCTGGCACCGACCCTGGTCGGCGCTGGCCAAAGTTTGGGGCAGCAGCGGTGGGACGCCGGGGACACCGTCGCGGCAGCTCGACGGGCGCCCCACGCGAAGGCCTTGGCAGATTGGTGGGTCCCGAGGCTCCTCCGCGCGTGCCGGGTCCCCGCGCCCGCAGCGGCTTTGACTAAAATAGGCATCGCGGCGGCGGCGGCCGGGGCTGGGGCAGCACCGCGCACGCGCCCAGCGCCCAGCGCCCCTGCGCCCCCGGCGGGCGGAGCCGCCGCGGGCCTCCGCCGGGTCTCCTCGCTTGTCTCTTCCAACTCCACCGCCACGTCGGTACCACCCTGATCAGTTTGAAACACCCGCTTATTTCTTTCCTCGTTTCCTCTTTATTTCTCGATTCTGCCCTTGTTTGGGCATGAATGGGGGGGCGGGCGGCATCGTAGCACCAGCGGCACTGGTCGCTCATCTTCAAGGGGATATAACTCCAGCAATAGAGTCCCAGCAGGGTGAGGAATAAGGATGAGAAATGAGGACTAGAATCTTCGTTTCCCCTCGAAGTCCAACGCCCCACTCGCATAACTCCTTTCTGGGACACTCGCCCGTAGCGTAGCACAAGCGGGGAAGGGCCGGGAGAGCGTGCGCTCGCGTCTGAGCCTGGCGGCGGAGGCTGGCCATTAGGTCCACACGGACGCAGGACACCGCCCTCGGGGACCCGCCAGGGGCCAGAGCAAGCCAGCCCTGCTGCTGCGGGGGCCACGCGGGAGAGACTTTTGACACAAGCCACCGTTTTGTTTTCAAAGAAGGTGGGTATTTATCTGAAATTTGCATTCCCGTGGCGTTGTAGGGCCCTCCACTGTAAGCGAAGCTCCACCGAGTTTGTCTTGTAAATTTGGTAGATTTGGGACCATAAATTGGAAAACGATATGAAAGTATGCTCCAATCAATCTGTACCATTTACAGAGGACAACTATTTGGGGTAAGAAATGCAAGGCAAATTAATGAAGAGTTCGCGTGAAGGGGGGTGTGGAGACAAAAGAGGAAGGTTAGATGGGCATTCACAGTTTCCACCTGAAGTGTCCCATTGTGGGATAGAATTTGTTCCTCTTAGAGTATGAGGTCGCTTGCATGGCAAACATGATCTAAATATAAAAAAGACCACAGGTATATTATAAAGTGAATACCCAGAAGTGCACAGTTGCCAAATCTCACCAGTGGAGAGGCAGTGCAGCATGGTGTCCAAGATCATGGGCTATAGTGCTGGGCGGACCCAGTTTGAATCCCGCCTCTGTTACCAGCTAGCTGTGCGACCTTGAGGGAGTTACTTAGCTTTTCCTATGCCTCAGTTTCCTCTTTTGTACAATGGGGCTGCTGCTGCTGCTGATGATGATTGTACCACTATCACATAGAATTGTTTTAAAGACTAGATCATATATATATATACATATCTGGATATGTATATATATATATATATGACCACTTTGAGCACCTCTTGTAATTGCAGAAGTCAAACGTGACTTGTATTCATCTTTTGTTATCAGTATATTTTGAGTATTACAATTTTAATAGTTTTTTCCTTTCTTAAAATGTGTATACATTTTTGGGCACTATATACATATTAAAAAAGGAAAAAGCTGTATTAATTGCAATACTCAATATATACTGATAACAAAAGATGAATACAAGTCACATTTGACTTCTGCAATTACAAGAGGTACTCAGTGTGGTTACCATCAGTGTCCAGACACTTTTGATTACCGTGAACTACTGCTTGAGCACAGGTAAAACCTCTTAAAATGTGTATACATTTTTTGGCACCCCCAGTATATAGCTTAGAATGGTACATGGTAAGTTCTATGTATATGAATATATGTTATACTTCTAATGCTCCTCTAACATGTTTGACATTTGCTATAACTATACAACATTAGTTTTCAAGGCTATTTCTTCAGAGTCTGTTTCATTTGAGATGCTCTGTAGCCATTTTGTAGCTACCACTAAATACATTTTAGGTTGTAGATGTAATAATAAATGTACACAAATATTTTACATGGATATTCATTGGAGGGTGACTTATAATAATGAATACTGGGAATAACCTAAATTCTAACCATAGGGGACTAAGTAAATTATAGGACATCCAAACAGTCTTGTTCTAAGCAGCCATTAAAAATAATTTATAGAAAGATAATAGAGACATAATAATGTCTATTAATTATATAAAACAAAGATCAGCAAACTATGGCCCAAAGGGCCCAGCCCACTGCCTGTTTTTGTACAGCCCGTGAGTTAAAATTGTCATTACATTTGTTCACGGTTAGAAAAAATCAAAAGAAGACTACTTTATGACATGTGAAAATTATATGCAATTCAAATTCAGTGTCCATAAAGTTTAATAGGAACCTGGCCAACTAATTCATTTATAGCTGCTTTTGTAAAAAAAAAAGATAGCATTGAGGAGTTGCAACAGAAACCGTATGACCCTGCACAGCCTTAAATATTTACTACCTGGCTCTTTACAGAAGAAGTTTACTCTCTCTGATATAGAGTGTACTTTGTGCCAGGCACTGTTATAAGTGGGTTAGCTATATTAAGCCATTGAATCTTCACAATGGACCATATGAAAAAGCAGTTACTATTTTTATCTCCATTTTATAGATTGGAATCTGAGATGAGAGGTTGAGTAGCCTGCTCAGTGATGGTCACACAGCTAGCGAGAAGCTGAACCAGGATATAAACCAGGCAGCCTAGCTCCAGAGCTTGGACTCTTGTCCACTAGCTACACAGGTTCTGCCACCTTCTAACTCTAGCTATACTGTCTCCTCTCATGGAAAGATGTTACATAGAAAAAAACAAGTTATAAGAGTGTATAGAATATTACAAATCGTCCACGATGGTAAACTCTATAATGCTTAATTCTTTACCTCAGAGTGGTGAGATTGTAAATGAGTTTTCTTTGATGCATTCCTCCTTCTATCCATCCCTTTCTTTCCTTCCTTCCTTCCTTCCTTCCTTCCTTCCTTCCTTCCTTCCTTCCTTCCTTCCTTCCTTCCTCCCTCTAACTCTCTTCTTCTAACACTTCCCCCATCCCCTCCTGCTTCTTCTCTTGCTAAATGTTCCTCAATGATTATATGTTAACTTTTATAATTCTAAAACACATTTATTAAAATAGTAGAGCTCAGGTTTTGGCTTTTGTAGATGGGAAAGCCAGACTCCAGAGGTATGACTCTGGAGACAGCTGTTAAGGACACATTCACTCCTTACCTAGTCGGGCAGGATACTGTAAGGCATTTAGATAGTATAAAGATTGCATACTTTTACCAAAAGAGCACTGGATTTGGTGTCATAAGACTTGAGTCCTGGCCTCTGGTAGAACTTGTGTTATCTCTGAGTCTATATTCCATAGAAAGAGGAGACTGAACCAAACCTAAACCCTTCACTATAACCCATCTAAGCCTCGAACCAAGGCCAGCTGCTGCTGGTGCTGGCCTTAGAGCTACTCAACCAGAAGTATGGGACACGCTCCAGCCAGATGCTGCTCATTTGGGTTCCGCGAACCTTTGAGAGACCCTAGGAAAGTCTGCGGCATGAGCCAAGAAAGGTTTATATGAAAAAGCCATTGAAAGTGGCTTGGGTGTGCCTCAAAATTGGGTGGGGTGGGGCCTCAGAATCACTGGGGCATGGCGAATGAATGCTGTCAGCCAGCTTGATGGAGACTCAGATATGGCTCCCACCTGTGTCTGCACGCTGGGAAGGGGGAGGGCTCAACAAAGAGACAATGGCTTCTGCCAGCTCCTTTGTCTGGGAGAAAGCTGCCCCTCCAGCCCTCCTCCTGCAGCCAGACAACTCAGTTTCCTCCCGTATGACCCTGTCCCCTCTCTAGCTGCTGCCCCAGTGCTGGAGCTTAGAGTGAGGGATTCCATCAGCAAGTAAGTCTGCACATGGGCCTTTAAAAGGAGCTGCCATCCATCGCACTCAGCCACAATCTCCACTGGTTTTCACAAGCAGAAGTTCTGGAGACTTCTCTCTTAAGCACTGAAACCTTGGGCTGGGGAGCCTGGTATGGGTCTGGGACCCCTCACTCCTCCAGGCGGTACCTCCACTGAAATATCCCTCCCAATTTTTAATGGCCACACATGGGTTTGGAATCAGCCTGTTCTATATCTCTGCCCCTCCTACCGGTCTCCAGGTGGCTTCTGTATGTCCTTAGTTTGTAGGGCTTCGGTTCAGCAAGATTTCAGGCGATTCTCAAGAATGGTTGTTTTGTAGTTTAGGTGCAATTTTGATGTGGTTGTGAGAGAAGGTAAGCACAGCATTTACGTACTCTGCCATCTTCCATAGCTTTTATATTCTTAATGAGGTGTCTAGCTTTTTCTGATATGGTCTCATCAAACATGGATTATTAAACAATGATTTAATTAGATTCTTTCTGTACCTAAGTTACTCTCGTTAAATGTTAGATTTTTTTCATTGCCAGTTTGACAACCATTCTCATTGACTATTTAAAAATTTTTCTCCTTTAAAAATAATTAATGCACCTTGTTTTGTTAGAGCAGTTTTAGGTTTATAGATAATTAAGCAAATAGTATAGAAAGTTCTCTTTCTCTGCTGCCCACAATTTCCCCCTATTATTAACATCTTGCATTAGTGTGATACATTAGTCATGATTTGAGAATAAATATTAGTATAACCGTTTAACAAGAGTTTACATTAAGGTTCATCTTTGTGTTATACAGTCCTAGGGTTTTGCTCAATATATAATGTCGTGTAGCCACCTGTGACTTAATAAGAAATATGTATTTGATCTCTTCTCTCGACACAGAGCTCCTAAAACCCTTGTAATTTCCTGTGTGATAGGGGTGCTTGGAGCATCTTTTGTTCTAATATTTAGTCTTTTATCCCTTCCTGACACAGCACTCTTAAAATCTTTGTAATTTCCTGAGTGACAGGAGTGATAAGAGCATCTTACACAGAGCTCCTAAATCCCTTGCTGGGTGATGGGAGTGTCTGTTATTCTAATGAGATGATTCTGGGTAGGCTCCAGGATAGATTCGAGATGGGTCCTGGTAACCAGAAAGGCAAAACCATGATTAGAAGCATGCAACTCTCAGTCCCACCTTCTGTCCTTTGAAGAGGGGAAAAGGGCTGGAGATTGAGTTAATAATTGATCATACCTATGTGATGAAGCCTTCATAAACATCCCTAAACTAATAGATTCGGAGAGCTTCCAGGTTGCTAAACACATCTATGTGCTGGGAGGGTAGTGCACCCCAATTCCACAGGGACAGAAGCTTCTACACTCAGGAACCTTCTGGACCTTGCGCTATGTACCTCTTCATCTGGCTATTCATTTGTATCCTTTATTGTATTTTTTTATAATACACCAGAAACGTGTTTCCCTGAGTTCTGTGAGCCATTATAGCAAATTATCGAACCTGAGGACAAGTTCATAGGAACCCCAGTTTATAGTCAAGTCAGACATAATTGTGACCCATGGGATCCACTACTTGTGATTGGCATCTGAGGTGGGGGGCAGTCTTGTGGAACTGAGCCTTTAACCTATGGTGTCTGCATTAACTTTGGGTAGTTAGCATCAGAATTGAATTGTAGGGCACACTTGGTGTCTGGAGAACTAGAGAATTGGTTGGTGTGGAAAAATCCCCACATGATTGCTATCTGAAGTGATGTGAGTAGAAGATACCGTTTTCCTTTGGTAATGTCACGTACCCACCATTATAGTATCATACGTAATTGTTTCACTGCCCTAAACACATCCCTAGTGTTCTACCTATTTATTGCTCTCTCTTGTCTTCTCCCTAACCCCCGGCAAGCACTGATTTTTTTTCTGTATCCATAATTTTGCCTTTTCCAAAATGTCAGATAGTTCGCATCATATAGACTATTGACTCTTCAAACTGGCTTCTTTCACTAAGCAATATGCAATTAAGGTTACTCCATGTCTTTTCGTGTCTTGATACCTTATTTTTTAAGTCACTGAATAATATTCGTAGTATGGATGTACTAGTTTGTTTACCATTTAAAGAACATCTTAGTTTCTTCCAGTTTTGGGTAATTACGACTAAAGCTGCTATAAACATTTGTGTGCAGGTTTTTGTGTGGACATGTTTTCAACTCATTTGGGTAAATACCAAGGAGGGCAATTGCTATATAGTATGGTAAAACTGTGTTAACTTTATAAGAACCTGCCAAGCTGTCTTCCAAAGTCACTGTACCACTTTCCAGTTCACCAGTAGTGAAAGTTCTCACTGCTCCACATTCTTAACAAGCATTTGGTATTATCAGTTTTTTGGATTTTAGCCATTCTAATAGGTGTCTTTTTTTTTTAAGATTTTATTGGGGAATTGGGGAAGGGAACAGCATTGGAGAATCAGGGAAGGGGAACAGACAAGTTGCTTTCCTTTTGTTCTTCAGTCTAGTTGTGGAGGATGTTGCTTCACACTCCCATGTTGGTATTGTGATCATTGCGCTCTTCCCGGGTGAGGCAGATTGGTCACCGGCCATTGGACAGCTGCTCATGGCAGCTCACGGCAGCTCACAACAGCTGCTTGCTGCTCACGGTAGCTTATGGCAGCCCACTGTAGCTCCACTGCAGCCTACGCCATCGCCAGCAACTCACGGCAGCCCAGCTCCAGGTCGAGCTGGGCTGTAGAGGGCACAGCATCACTGGCCCATGTGGGATCCGAACCGGCAGCCCTGCTGCTCAGAGCTCGCGCTCCCAAGCCAGCTCTTAACCAATGAGCCACTCAGCTGGCCCTCTTTTTTGTTTTTAAACTGACTCAGTTGGTTTATTTGTTCAAAATAACAAAACAGGTTATGCACTGAACAGGTGTTTTGGCTAAATAAAAAACAAGGAACAACATCTCAAAGCCAAGGCGTGTAATCTTTCATATTATTGAAAGGCCACAGTCTAAAAATGGTTAAAACAATGTCTAACTAGTTCTAATTCTAACTTCAGAGAAAAGTTTCCTAAAAAAAGTTGGATTTCATTTGAATCATTGAACAATGAGCTCTTGCCCAAAGGGTTCATTCACCAACTCTTTATAGAAACAAAGCACAACTAAAATTCTAAAAAGTGACCCAGAACTTTAAGAGGTCAATGCATTATGAAGGCAGTGGAAAGAATGGGGGCTTTGGAATTAGCCGCTAGATCTAAACCATGGTTTTTTGTTTTTTTTTGTTTTGTTTTGTTTTTTAAAGATTTTTTTATTGGGGAATTGGGGGGATGGGAACAGTGCTAGGGAATTGGGGGAAGGGGAACAGACAAGTTGCTGTCGTTTTGTTCCTCAATCTAGTTGTGGAGGACGTTGCTTCACTGGCCCAAGTTGGCACCATCATTGCGCTCTTCCCGGGCGAGGCACATCAGTTGCCGGCTTCTGGACGGCCGCTCACTGCGGCTGCTGGCCGCTCACGCTGGCTGCTGGCTACATACGGTAGCCC